TTTACCTCATCTAATTAGACTGGTGGGCACAATATTTAAGTTACATCCCAAGTCTTTTCTTGGTTTAATTTTGGAGACTGCCACTTACACCTCATACTCCATGTTTAGTGTCCTGTATGTATTTTAAATGTACGTGAGTGCTGTAACGGTGTCAGAAAGTTTAGCTAGTGCTGTAAAATCTGGTGCACTGACGCTATTGCTTTGTCATTAATCTAATGTTGCAACCAATTTAAAAAACAACAACAACAACAACAAAAACCAAAGGCTGATGGCTTTTTGTTTGGATACTGTATTTTTTTATGTAACTATTTTTTATCTTCTGTAGGTTATGGATTAACAATGGTAATCATAAAAGTTTTTTTAAATTTATTAGATTTTTGTAAATCACCAAGCGACCCCATCTCATTGTCCCGCGACCCCCCAGGGGGTCCCGACCCCCACTTTGAGAACCACTGCTCTAAGGATTTATTATGCAGTCTCCGACGCCATCTTGTGGCAGAGCTTCAACTATCTTTGCTCTGCTCAAAGACAGGCTGATAGAGGCCGACGTGCTGAATCTCCGAAAATATAAATATTTAAAATAGGCACTATCCTTATAAATTAACTGCATACTTACAATCTAAACAACAACATTCTCACCTGAAAAAGCCTCAAAGGTACATTATGTTGTCCAACAGCTGCAATATTTGTCAAACTGTAGTGAGTTTATTGATCTGCTGTCACTCTATGTGGGCGGAGTAACACACAAGGGTGAGGAGGCTGTACGAGTGCTGATATTGCAGAATATCACACGGCTTTCAGCCAATCAGATTCGAGTAACAGACAGGACTGTTGTATAAAAAAATAATAAAGTCTTTAATATAATATGATATAATATAATATGATATAATATAATATGATATAATATAATATGATATAATATAATATAATATAATATAAAATAATAATATAATATAATATAATATAATATAATAAAATAATATAAAATAATATAATATAATATAATATAATAAAATATAATATAAAATAATATAAAATAATATAATATAATATAATATAATATAATATAATATAATATAATATAATATAATATAATCAACCAACAATGAGCAGATTAAAGAGTAGTTTAATTTGGACCGATTATAGTCCAGAGGTCCAGCATTTTTGCAAAAAGTATAAAACAAATAAAACTAAATAAAAAATCTCAAACACCGTCCCACAAGATAAAAGACAGACGTCACCTTACAATCATCTCAACAATTCACATTTCATATAATAAACAGATACAAAAACCAAAGCACTGAAGGCATGAGAGCTCAGGTCACTGAAAAGGCATCGGGTTTGCTGTTTGTTTGTTTGTTTGTTTATGCATGAACTTGTATCTTAAAGCCTGTGTTGTCATTTTGGCACTTTAATAACCACATACACATAGTTATTACCATCTTTATCACAGTCCAGCACAGGCACATCATTGCTTGTATTCTGTCATAATTTCAGGTTTCCAGCATTTCCACCTGCTGTTTACGGTCTGTGGGAAATAAAACCCTATGAGGCTTGTGTTTTCAGCATCGGGGTATATTTGAAAGCTGCAGACGATCACGTCATTTTTTTAAAATGTAGTTTCATTATAGTCTTAAGTTATAGTTTCAATTATTTATTACATTTATTTCAATGTACAGTTGAAATTATCTGCCCTCCTGTGTTTTTTTCCCTTTTTCCGATATTTTCAAAGTGATGTTGAACAGATTCAGGATTTTTTCTCAGTATTTGCTGTAATATTTTTTCTTCTGGAGAAAGCCTTATTTGTTTTATTTTGGCTAGAATAAAAGCAGTTTTTATTTAACAATTTTTAAACACCATTTTAATGTCAATATTATTAGCCCCCTTAAGCTATATTTGTTTTGGATTGTTATACACTGACCCTGACTTGCCTAATTAACCTAGTTAAGTCTTAGGGTGCTTTCACACCTGTGAATCGATTCAGTTGTTCCGAAACAGAGATTACAAATGTTACATTGTTGCTCTTTGCTCTTGGAGCGGTTCGCTTTCACCAAGCGGCAACCTCGGAATACGGAATACGGAAGTAACTAAAACTGCAATTCATCCGAAATTCCGCTAGTCCTGGCCGCTCCTGGCTCCAAAACAGAGCAAATTTCAATTGAGTCCACTGTTAGAATGGCCAACTTTACAACAGAAAAAAAGGTGTTTACAGCCTGGTACAAAAAAAGATTTTGGTTAATACAGCTAATATTACCCTTCATGACAACTGTGAGGGGGGTGAATTTTTTTATAACTCATCCGTTTCCTTTATATTAAGTTATATTAAGTTTGCATAATTAAGGGCGTGGTCACTTGATTGACAGCTAGGTCTCGTTGGTCGCAGTCACGTCACCTCAGCTGAATCCTGCAGATTAGCCACTGATCTCTGCATATTTATCGTATTTCTGTGTTGTTTTATGTGACTTTACACAGTCAACTGCCTTTTGGACTTGTTTCCTACAATTATTAGATGGCATGGCATGCTGAGTGAACTTAATTGTGCTCACAAACCATTCACGTGGCCTCCGTTTCCCATGTGAGTAAAGTTATATACTTATATACCATCTCTATACATGTATTTATTTTATTTAAGATCATTTATCATTTATATTTATATTTAGAGCTGTAATGCACTGCAGAATCTGTCAGATTGATTAGCTGTAGGCTCTAGATCAGTCATCTGAAGTGTTGTCATACAGTGTTATGCTGGATTTTATCAATAGTCTTACATTAACTAACACAGACTATATCTGAAGTGTTTGGAAGTAATTCGCGTTTTCCTCCTGTTTAAAAACGTCATAAGAACAATGTTTAGTGGCTCAATGTATTACAGCAGTGTTTTTAAAAGACTAAACACTTTATTGATATAGTTTACAACCAAGCACAAGTGGTCAGAACACAAACGAGTCGCAGGTGATGAAGTATTAAGCGTTTTCCCAAAGTAAAGTGTGTCTGAACCAGGTCCAAGCTAAATGCTAGCAGGTGTCTGTAGCTCCGTTCACTCTCCGCCTCTTTGCCCTTGTTTGGTATCCCGCCGTGGGTGTGATGACGCGTGACCAAAATGGCGACGGTTGGCCGTGCCTACTTGTGGCTTCTTTTGCGCTCTTCAGAAACCTATGGGTGACGTCACGGACACTACGTCCATATATTTTACAGTCTATGGCTTTCACACTGCAAAGTTTCTAATCGGACCAAAAGAGCTAAAACAAGTCACGTGCGAGTAAACTCTCCTCACATTGGTCAGAGTGTCAGGGTTTATTTTGCAGCGTCCCGCTCAGCTGTCAGGAGAGGTGGTGGATTGGTGGTGATTGACAGGGTGCGTGCTCGATGTGTCTGAGGAGAGATGCGGTGGGGAGGGGTGAGAAGGGTGCGCAACGATGCCTATTTGAGGACCGGGAGGGAGACGCGAGATTACCGGGAGATCATCACTCGTTTGTGGGCATCTGGAGACTCGCGAAACTTCCCGCCCTACTCATAATTCTCTCTTCATAGAGCCGTAAGCCTATTACATATCCATAAAAACTGTGATATAACCGCGCTCGGATCAGATCGCTTTCTCACTGCAATCGAACCACTCCAGGGTTTGTTTCAATCGAGCCGAGACCACCTCATTCAGGCGATCTCGGAGCGATTACTTTGGCGCGGAACAGAGCGGTGTTCACATATGCCAATCGAACCGCGCTAACTGGGCAAACGAGACACGTTCCGAAACAAAAGTGTAGGTGTGAAAGCACCCTTAAATTGTCACTTTAACCTGAATACTAGTATCTTGAAGAATATCTAGTCAAATATTCTGTGCTGTCATCATGGCAAAGATAAAATAAATCAGTTATTAGAAATGAGTTATTAAAACTATGATGATTAGAAATGTGTTGAAGAAATCTGCTCTCTGTTACACAGAAATTGGAGAATAAATATAGAGGGGGTTAATAATTATTTCTGACTCCAACTGTATGAATTTCATTAATAGTAAATAAATATAATATAATATAATGCATTTATTATATGATTCATAATAAAATTATATAAATATATGATTAATCATATGATATAGGACTAATGTTGCCTTGACTGAAATTATTTTTGTATTTGATTAAAAGTTTAGTAATTCATTCATTTTTCTTCGGTCCCTTATTTATCAGAGGTCGCCACAGCGGACTTATCCAGCATATGTTTTACACAGCGAATGCCCTTCCAGACGCAACCCAGTACTGGGAAACAATCATACACTCTCACATTCACACACACACTCATACACTATGGCCATTTTAGTTCATCAGTTCACCTATAGCACATGTGCTTGGACTGTGGGGGACACCGGAGCACCCGGAGGAAACCCACGCCAACATGAGAACATGCAAACTCCACACAGAAATGCCAACTGACCCAGCTGAGGCTCGAACCAGCGACCTTCTTGCTGTGAGGCTAAAGTGCTAACCACTGAGCCACCGCACCGCTGTATGACAGTTGTATTATTATTACTTAATTTAATCTATTTACGTTTTAGATACAATATTATTTGAGTTTTGAATGTATTATTTTAAAGTACAAAATAAAGCACTTTTCTTTTTACATTTTTTATATTTTGTTTTCGGCAACGCAGTGGGTAGTGCTGTCGACCAAGGTCTCTGGTTCGATCCTCGGCTCAGTTGGCGTTTGTGGAGTTTGCATGTTCTCCCTGCCTTTGCGTGGGTTTCCTCCGTGTGCTCCGGTTTCCCCCACAGTCCAAAGGCATGTGGTACAGGGGAATTGGGTAGGCTAAATTGTCTGTAGTGTATGAGTGTGTGTGTTGCGTATGGGTTGCGGAATGTGCTGGATAAATTGGCGGTTCATTCCGCTGTGGCGAGCCCGGATTAATAAAGGGACTAAGCCGACAAGAAAATGAATGAATGAGTATTTTGTTTTCATTTGTTAGTAAAACTTTTTGTTGTTGTTGTGTTTTTGACATTTTTACTCATTTTTTTTTCTCACTTTAAATTCAGTTTTATTAAAATCATTAAAAAATGTTTTTCCATTTACTTTATGCAAAACATTTTAGATTTAGTCAATGAAGTTAGTCTACAAAATTAGTTACGTATTTTATATTTATTTTCCATTCAAGTAATTCTTTCTCAGCTTTTTTCCATTTATTATTCATTTAAAAAAAAAACATTTTCACTATTTTAGAATATTTTCTATTAATTTTAATTTTCAAATATTGTAGCTTGTCAAGTTAAACTAAATAAAAACAGGGAAAAGACATTACAATTTTTTGTTAATAGTTTATTAACAAAAATCAATAATTATTTATTTTGTTTTAAATCTAGAATTTTATTTTCATTTTTGTAATCTATAAAAGTAGCTTGAGATTTTTATCCTTGACACTTTCTTAATCCAGTCAATAATGAATACTGAAACAGAATAAAATCAATCCTTTCTGAAACATGCTTGTTTTCACACTATATCCACATTACCAGAACTTATTTTTGCATAACATCCAATATCTCTGTTCTTTTTTAGTTATTTTAGCTCAAGTTAAACTATAAGTAAATCAGCCAAACACTAATAAAATACATTTTTAAATAATTAAAAAATAATAATTTTTCATTTTAGTAAAATATTTGGTCATTTTATTGTGTTTTCTGATATACATTAATAATTTTTGCCTCTAATTAGCACATTTCCTTTATAAAATGTCAATATATTTGCCATTAAGTTTGGGTTTTAACTATGCTAGTTTAAGTTAAATTAATTAGGAATTTACTTTGTATTAGTTTAGTCCTGTTAACATTTAATTTATTTCAGTTGTATGATTTTATTTTAAATGTTTATCACCTATTAAATTACCTTCAAATCTTTTATCGTTCATAATACAGTCATTAATGAAGACAGAAATAAAACTCAACCCTTCCCAAAGCATGTTTGTTTCCACACTATATCCAAATCTCCTTGTTTCCCCCCTAAAAAAAACCAAATCTCTGCATGTTTTCAAGTATACCCCATAATAGTGCTCTCCGGACTGCTGTCCAGCTGTAGGTTTGAGTTCAGCACAAACCTCTCAAACCACTGAACTGATCCCAGGATGCATCGCAGGAGTTTCAGCAGTGATGTGTGTGTTTCTCACGGGTTGTGCAAGCAGTGTGTGTTTGTCTGCTGTGTCTCCATGTGCTCCAGCATCTCCCGAATGATGGCTCGGAGCGCTCGGGCCAGATCCTCCGCGCTGTACGGTTTATCCAGAGGAGGAACATGAACAAACGCCGACCGGCCCTCGCCCACAAACAGAGACATGTAGTAGGTGTAGTCACACAGATACCTGCGGTGAGGACGGAGAGTGTGTTAATGATAAACGCACAAACATGCTCCGTACAACAATTGCACAAAGCCAGATAGAGTTTTACCCAGGGTATTTAGCATTTATTTTGAGTTGGGCTCAAGAAGATGAGCTGGTTTTGATCAGGTTTTAATGGTAACTTAAAGGGTCACGAAACACCAAAACACATTTGTTGAGATGCTGACAGTCATATATGTGTCCCACGTTGCTTAAAGAGCCCATCTTATGAGTTTTTGAAAATGCCCTTCCATGTAGTGTGTAACTCAGCTCTAAGTGAAGTGAAGTATCCAGCTAAGACTTAAATCTGTAAGTGTACAGTGTTTAAAACTGTTGATTCATCTATAAAAGAGTCGACTCATAGTGCTTCAAACGAGTCATCTTGATAACGAGTCATTAGGGGCCCGTTCTTCGTACGTGGATTACTCAGTTAGCTGGATTTGGTTATTGATGATTTGACACAATCCAGGATCGTTTCGTTCTTCAAAGCTGATCCGAGAGTTGTTGTCATAGCAACAGTTCTGCTAGCTCAAACCGGATCGGGAGCAGGTTCAATTCATATAAACAGGATTAGATTGGCTCAGTTCAAGCAAAGATAATACAGAGAGTACCGAATTCTGATATTTTCTTACAGTAGTAGTTATATACACTTGGGAAAATAGTACATATTTTTTAACTATATATATATAAAGTTATAGTTATTAATAAAATAAAGTTATACATATTAATAAAACGTATGCAATCTGCACTCTTGAAATGAAAGTACAAAGACTGCCACCTGGTGGTGCAAAGAGAAAACTTATTGATGTAAACTTTTTAGATCGCTTTAGTACAATTTGTGTATAATAGAAATGCAGAATATGTGACTTTTTTTAAAGCAATAATACATTTCAGCAGTCATAAACATGTTTTGATAGTTCATATGCAGTGATTTGATGCTTTACAAAAGTTGCAGACGCCTTTACCAATATCAAAACGCTTTTGTGAACAACCAGTTATTCTTTACACCGATTAAAAAACGGCTACAATAATAAAGAAAATATTTTCTTAATGTAACTAAATACATTGATTTGCATTGAAATACATGATGAATACTCTTGACACATGAAAGTGTAAAGCCTGCAGCTCACAACAAATGTGGAAGGTTATTGCGTGTCATATCTAACAAACCGTTTACTGCTAATTTGATGTAATTTTGCTCACATGGATAATTGAATATTAATCAGATGATGTCATTACGCTGCTGTGACGTCAGCCAATCGTTGCATTGCTGATCATGATTTCGAGGATCGATAGATCTGTCCTTCACAACACACACAGCGATCTCAGATCAGTTTATCCAGACATTCTAATCTGATTCGCAAACTCGTTTGAAGAACCAAATTAGAGAGAGATCAGTTATCGAGATTAAAAGATTCGGGATCTGCCAAATCATCTTAGATCATTTAAGCGAGGTACGAAGAACGGACCCTAGGTGTTTCGCCATGACGTGATAACGAAACCAAGTAGTTGCACGCGCAAATCCAGGAGATTTGAAACCTGCGGCCCCACCCTCTAACACAGGAAAAGCCACACACACACACACACACACACACACAAACACGCCGGTCAAATGAAGTGGCTATATGCAGATGGATATTATTGAGTCTCGACCGCAAAGATGAAACCTCAGCATTATAGCCGATCCTTGAGCAGTTTAAGTGCTTCTGGAAACGACATGCTGATTAGTTAATATATTAATATCATACGCACAAGAACATGTTCTAAATAAAATTCTAAATAAATTAACAGATAAAAATTGCAGCTATTTGCGATTTAGAAATTGCGTGTGCTTAAGTTGTGATTTTTTTGCGATTGCGATTAATTGCAAAGCCCTATTATGTTCCTGTAAGAAAACATTGCAAATAACTTGAAATCCGGCGACCGCAATAAATCAAACCGTTGGGAACAACTGTGGTCAAAACCAAAGTTCACAGTGAGTGTGTTCTCCTGGACTTCTACATTCTGATTTCCTGCCGCCGAACCGCGTCATAGCTCAATACCATAAAGTTAACTTGATTTCAACTCTCCTTGACCATTGAAAACGAATGACTTCCAGCTACTTTGACGCTCCCGCCGCTTTCGGTGTGATCGAACAGTAAGTCTTGTTTTTGAATCTGCCACTATGTTGACAAATAGGCATTTGTAGCTCCGCCCTCTTCTGAAAAGAGCTCAATCGCATTTGAATTTAAAGCAACAGTTACCAAAATTCCCCAATTAGGATGAAAGCCAAAAAGGGTCAGTTTCAGAGAGTTAGAAAACATTATTTATGTGGTATTTTGAGCTGACACACACACACACACACACACACACACAAACAAAAACACAAACACGCCGGTCAAATGAAGTGGCTATATGCAGATGGATATTATTGAGTCTCGACCCAAAGATGAAACCTCAGCATTATAGCCGATCCTTGAGCAGTTTGAGTGCTTCTGGAAACGACATGCTGATTGGTTAACATATTAATATCATGCGCACAAGAACATATTCTAAATAAAATTCTAAATAAATTAACAGATAAAAATTGCAGCTATTTGCGATTTAGAAATTGCGTGTGCTTAAGTTGCGATGTTTTTGCGATTGCGATTAATTGCACAGCCCTATTATGTTCCTGTAAGAAAACATTGCAAATAACTTGAAATCCGGCGACCGCAATTATCAAACCGTTGGGAACAGCTGTGGTCAAAACCAAAGTTCACAGTGAGTGTGTTCTCCTGGACTTCTACATTCTGATTTCCTGCTGCCGAACCGCGTCATAGCTCAATACCATAAAGTTACCTTGATTTCAACTCTCCTTGACCATTGAAAACGAATGACTTCCAGCTACTTTGACGCTCCCGCCGCTTTCGGTGTGATCGTACAGTAAGTCTTGTTTTTGAATCTGCCACTATGTTGACAAATAGGCATTTGTAGCTCCGCCCTCTTCTGAAAAGAGCTCAATCTCATTTAAATTTAAAGCAACAGTTACCAAAATTCCACAATTAGGATGAAAGCCAAAAAGGGTCAGTTTCAGAGAGTTAGAAAACATTATTTGTGTGGTATCTTGAGCTGACACACACACACACACACAAACAAAAACACAAACACGCCGGTCAAATGAAGTGGCTATATGCAGATGGATATTATTGAGTCTCGACCCAAAGATGAAACCTCAGCATTATAGCCGATCCTTGAGCAGTTTGAGTGCTTCTGGAAACGACATGCTGATTGGTTAACATATTAATATCATGCGCACAAGAACATATTCTAAATAAAATTCTAAATAAATTAACAGATAAAAATTGCAGCTATTTGCGATTTAGAAATTGCGTGTGCTTAAGTTGCGATGTTTTTGCGATTGCGATTAATTGCACAGCCCTATTATGTTCCTGTAAGAAAACATTGCAAATAACTTGAAATCCGGCGACCGCAATAATCAAACCGTTGGGAACAACTGTGGTCAAAACCAAAGTTCACAGTGAGTGTGTTCTCCTGGACTTCTACATTCTGATTTCCTGCTGCCGAACCGCGTCATAGCTCAATACCATAAAGTTACCTTGATTTCAACTCTCCTTGACCATTGAAAACGAATGACTTCCAGCTACTTTGACGCTCCCGCCGCTTTCGGTGTGATCGTACAGTAAGTCTTGTTTTTGAATCTGCCACTATGTTGACAAATAGGCATTTGTAGCTCCGCCCTCTTCTGAAAAGAGCTCAATCTCATTTAAATTTAAAGCAACAGTTACCAAAATTCCACAATTAGGATGAAAGCCAAAAAGGGTCAGTTTCAGAGAGTTAGAAAACATTATTTGTGTGGTATCTTGAGCTGACACACACACACACACACACAAACAAAAACACAAACACGCCGGTCAAATGAAGTGGCTATATGCAGATGGATATTATTGAGTCTCGACCCAAAGATGAAACCTCAGCATTAAAGCCGATCCTTAAGCAGTTTGAGTGCTTCTGGAAACGACATGCTGATTGGTTAACATATTAATATCATGCGCACAAGAACATATTCTGAATAAAATTCTAAATAAATTAACAGATCAAAATTGCAGCTATTTGCGATTTAGAAATTGCGTGTGCTTAAGTTGCGATGTTTTTGCGATTGCGATTAATTGCACAGCCCTATTATGTTCCTGTAAGAAAACATTGCAAATAACTTGAAATTCGGCGACCGCAATAATCAAACCGTTGGGAACAGCTGTGGTCAAAACCAAAGTTCACAGTGAGTGTGTTCTCCTGGACTTCTACATTCTGATTTCCTGCCGCCGAACCGCGTCATAGCTCAATACCATAAAGTTACCTTGATTTCAACTCTCCTTGACCATTGAAAACTCTCCTTGACCATTGAAACTCTCCTTGACCATTGAAAACGAATGACTTCCAGCTACTTTGACGCGCCCGCCGCTTTCGGTGTGATCGAACAGTAAGTCTTGTTTTTGAATCTGCCACTATGTTGACAAATAGGCATTTGTAGCTCCGCCCTCTTCTGAAAAGAGCTCAATCGCATTTGAATTTAAAGCAACAGTTACCAAAATTCCACAATCAGGATGAAAGCCAAAAAGGGTCAGTTTCAGAGAGTTAGAAAACATTATTAGTGTGGTATTTTGAGCTGACACACACACACACACACTCTCTAGGGACATCAGAGACACAATTAGTATTTTGTAAAAAGTGGCATAATAGCTCCCATTTAAAGCAGAATGGTTTTATTTTACTTTTTATTTTATTAAAATAAATAATAGCTGTTTATTTTTGTATGATCATTATAAATAAATATATGAATAAGTGTTTTTTTTTCTAGTTGTTTAAAAGGTGTATGCTAAGTCATGAACGAAAACGACATTTTTTTCTGCATGTTAGCACAGCAAAGCAAAGCGTTTATACCTGCCGGCGTCCTTCGACACAGACACAGAGACTCCGAGGCCGGAGGAGTTGACTCTCTTGCAGACCATGTCCATGTCTATGACTGAATGAATGCAGTCTGGTCCTCCATCCACACAGCAGCGGGACACGGGACAGAACATGCAGTTGTCCATCCGCATGTAGCCCTGGTTATGACCACACTGCTCCAGTGTCACTGTGGTCGCCATCCCGGACACACCCACGTGGACCACTAACTAAAAAGCAAAGACAGAAAATAAAAGTATACTTACAGCTGAAGACAAAACAATTACTTAAAAAGAATTCAAATGTTTAGAGCAAAATTCAGTTTTACACAGTCATAACATACACAAAAGTCTTGTCGTCAATGCAAGTTTTAGGAACAACAAATCATAACTTGACTTCTAGTTGATCGTTTGGTATCAGAAGTGGCTTATATGAAAGGCCTCTAGATTACACTTATTTGACCAACATTTTGATTGATTTATTTAGGACAGTAAGGTCTGACTTTTCTTAGACTAAAGTCTCATCACTGAACAGCAATAATGTCCAGTATAGAATATAAAGTCCTGCTGCAGTGGAGACAGAATGAATATTGTGTCTGACTCCATCATGAGCTTGGAGGACTGCATCCATACATCTCTGCACTGACTCAAATCACTGATTAATAAAGTCATCTGGAATGGCAGAGAAAGCGTTCCTACAGGACTCCCAGAGCTCATCAAGACTCTTTCGGTTCATCTTTAACCCCTCCTCCTTCATGTTACCTCAGACATGCTCAATAATGTTCATGTCTGGTGACTGGGCTGGCCAATCCTGGAGCACCTTGACCTTCTTTGCTTTCAGGAGCTTTGATGTGGAGGCTGAAGTATGAGAAGGAGCGCTATCCTGCTGGAGAATTGTCCCTCTCCTGTGGTTTGTAATGTAATGGGCAGCACAAATGTCTTGATACCTCAGGCTGTTGATGTTGATCATCCACTCTGCAGATCTCTCCATACTGAATGTAACCCCAAACCATGATTATTCCTTCACCAAACTTGACTGATTTCTAGGAGAATCTTGGGTCCATGTGGGTTCCAGTAGGTCTTCTGCAGTATTTGTGATGATCGGGATGCAGATCAACAAATGATTCATGGGGGAAAAAATATATATATACATATATATCGACCTTCTGCCACTTTTCTAAACGATCAACCAGAAGTCAAGTTATTATTTGTTGCTCTTACAACTGGGATCGACGACAAGACTTTTGTCAAGTAGTCAGTATGGTTAAAAAAAAAAACACTAATGATTTATAGTAAACACTTCATAGGATATTTTCATGTGGGTGTTTGACACCCAAAATAGATATGTTAGCAGATATCGCAGCCTCTGTTACTTTTTAAACTTGCACTTTTTTGTTAACATTTATTATTAATTGTTTAGGATATGCAGTTTCACGTTCTGATTCCAATGCCTGAATATTAAATTGTTAAAATGACTATAATTGAATAAAATATTCTAAACAATAAAATATTATGCATTCTTTGAAAGAGTGTACTTGCATTGTGATGATATTATATTGTCATTCTGTCATTAATAAGTGGCATAAAATGGTCTTAAAATGACAATAGCCCCTTTCACACATACAATGATGTGGAGGCTGAAGTATGAGAAGGAGCGCTATCCTGCTGGAGAATTGTCCCTCTCCTGTGGTTTGTAATGTAATGGGCAGCACAAATGTCTTGATATCTCAGGCTGTTGATGTTGATCATCCACTCTGCAGATGATCTCTCCATACTGATTGTAACCCCAAACCATGATTTTTCCCTCACCAAACTTGACTGATTTCTCTAAGAATCTTGAGTCCATGCTGGTTCCAGTAGTTCTTTTGCAGTATTTGTGATGATTGGGATGCAGATCAACAAATGATTCATGGAAAGAATCCACCTTCTGCCACTTTTCCAATTCATCAACAAGCAATCAAGTCATTATTTGTTGCTCTTACAACTGGGATCCACGACAAGCCTTTTGTCAGGTAGTGTAGCATATACACTTGAATGATTTTAATAACTGTAACTTAAAGGGATATGTCACCAAAAATTAAAATTACTCACATTATTTATTCACTCTCAAGTACAATTTTAGAGGAGGGCTAATAACTCTTTATTACATGAATAGTTAAGCTGATTATATATTATAAATTAATTATGTTTAAAGAAGTCCTCTTCGGTCTCCAAGACTACACTTATTGGCTCAAAATACAGTACACATACTATGCTATTACAGTATTTATCATAACACACTTTGTAATTAATAACTGACAACGGCCAGTTGGTGGCGATCCTTCAGTGTGCATTATTGTCTAATCAGGGGTTCTTAATCTTTTTCCAAAGTTAAATTTAAGCACTTTCTAGGGGCATTTGTTAACCTTTCCAGCAATTTACAAATGTCAAAGAATATGTTTACATACACTCACCGGCCACTTTATTAGGCAGGGCTCAACAATAAGGACTGCCCGGTGGCCCAGGGCCAGCGTGAGAGACACTTGGGACAGTAGACCGGATCATTAATGGCCCGATTGGGACAGTTCTGCCTTGTCACTAATATTTAATTTGTCTGTGACTATTTGTCAATTGCGTGCATTTTAAGTTTGTGCTTTCAAATCTTTAAATGCTACCTTCTCTGTAATGTCGTAAACAACATATTGCTTTCCGATTCGTCTGATTCAACTGATTGATTTGACCATGCTATTTTTTTTTTTTTTTTGTAACCTGGTAACAACCAGTACAGCGTAGAAACAGCAACATGGCGGCAACATCAAATTAAAAGGCTAAACGAAAATGTCTGTCTCTAGTGTGTTGGAAGTAGACATTTACTTGGAAGCAACACGACAAAATAATAATGAAGTGATGTTATGCATAGTTTGCCGTCAGTTTGACAAATCAGCCACCTTTTTTTTAAAAAATAATTTCAAACTGCAATAAAATGCCTCCACATTCTCCATACTGCTCTTTTTGTTTGCATAACACTTATATTTACAATTGTTTTTTAAGTATTGAAATTCTAGATTTACAGACTTTATTTTTGACACATTATTTAAAATATGTCGTTAAAAAATAGCTATTAACTTCTCTTTTTTTTGGTGGGGCCAGTGAAAATTTTAGCAGGGCAAGTAAAAATCTAAACCACTTGCCCGATCGGACCAGTAGAAAAAATCCTTAGCGATGAACCCTGTTAGGTATACCAAACTTGTACCAGGTTGGAAGCCTTTTGCCTTCAGGTCTGCCTTAATCCTTTGTGGCATAAATTTAACAAGGTACTGGAAATATTCCTGAGAGATATTGCTCCATACTGACATGATAGCATCACACAGTTGCAGCAGATTTGACGGCTGCACATGCATAATGTGAATCTCCCGTTCCACCACATCCCAAAGGTGCTCTACTGGATTGAGAGCTGGTGACTGTGGAGGCCGTTTGAGTACAGTGAACTCATTGTCATGTTCAAGAAACCAGTCTGAGATGATTCAAGCTTTATGACATGGAGCGTTATCCTGCTTGGGATGTGGTCATAAAGGAATGGACATGGTCCGCAACAATACTTAGGTGGACATGATGCTCAGTTGGTACTAATGGGAACAAAGTGTGCCAAGAAAATATCCCCCCACACCATTACACCACCACCACCAGCCTGAACCATTGATACAATGAAGGATGGATCCATGCTTTCATGTTGCTAACGCCAAATTCTGACCCGACCATCTGAATGTGTCAGCAGAAATGGAGACTCATCAGAGCAGGCAACGTTTCTCCAATCTTCTATTGTCCAGTTTTGGTGAGTCTGTGTGAACTGTAGCCTCAGTTTCCTGTTCTTAGCTGACAGGAGTGGCACCCGGTGTGGTCTTCGGCTGCCGTAGCCCATCCGCCTCAAGGTTGGACGTGTTGTGTGTTCAGAGATGCTCTTCTGCAGACCCCGGTTGTATCGAGTGCTTATTTGAGTTACTGTTGCCTTTCTATCAGCTGGAACCAGTCTGGCCATTCTCCTCTGACCTCTGGTATCAACAAGACATTTGCGCCCACAGAACTGCCGCTCACTGGATATTTCCTCTTGTTCAGACCATTCTCTGTAAACACTAAAGATGGTTGTGAAAATCTCAGTTGATCAGCAGTTTTTGAAATACTCAGACCAGCCCGTCAGGCACCAACAACCACGTTCAAAGTCACTTAAATCACCTTTCAGCAGATCGTCTTGACCATGTCTACATGCCTAAATGCCTTGAGTTGCTGCCATGTGATGGACTGATTAGAAATTTGTGTTAACGAGAAGTTGGACAGGTGTGCCTAATAAAGTGGCCGGTAAGTGTGCATATCCATATTTCAACACATTATATTAAAACTTTTTGTTAGAATACTAAACAATATCAGAGGGAAAATTTTTAATAGCATGTTTGCCCCAAGTTCAAGCTGAATTACTGTCATTTACTCTGTTAAATTTAATTTGCTCACATCTTAAATGTGTCATTTTTCCCTTTAAATCAAGCTAGGGAATTTTTTTTTAAATAATTACTATTATTTATTTAATAACACAATTTGATCGCAATAATTACAATTACAATTTCAAGTTGTTTCAAGCACCTTATCCAACAATTTTAAACCTGTAAAATTCTAAATTAAAATTCAAGCATTTTGAAGGATGTCCAGCAACCGTGCCAACCATGTCTAATAATTCAATGGGCCGGATTCAATTATTCACTCACACTCTGGTTTCTACAGCTAAATCCACTGTTCAGATGTTGTATTTGAGACATTTGTGAGTTTTTTGTCGTCATACTGCTCCTGTGTAGCCCTAGTTTCTCACACATCTCCTCCAAAGCCTTCTGTTGTGTTTTGATGTAATTTCCAACAGTGAAATAACTAAAATCATTCAGCGTAGTGATATGGAGCTGTAATGCGCTCAAAACCTGCCGGAACTATTTCAGCTGAGCTAAATTAGTAAATTTAATGGTACAAAAAATTAATTGTATTTTTTATAATCACAATTGTTTCCCAGAGATGGGCTGCGGCTGGAAGGGCATCCGCTGCGTAAAAACGTGCTGGATAAGTTGGCAGTTCATTCCGCTGTGGTGACCCGAGATCAATAAAGGGACTAAGCCGACAAGAAAATGAATGAATGAATGATCACACTTGATTAAAACAGTCAGCAGAAACACATTGGCTGTGTCCGAAACCGCATACTTCCATACTATATAGTATGCTAAAATCAGTATGCGAGCAGAGTAGTATGTCCGAATTCACAGAATTCGAAAATTAGTAGGCGAGAAGTACCCAGATAACTTACTACTTCCGGTGAGATTCTTGAGTGCGCATCCCATGCATGCTGCGCTATCCCATGATGCCCCGCGAGCGAATTCATGAATGGGAGTAAAGCGACGCAAATTACGCAGGTAGGGTTCGTGACTATGTCAAAATGGCGGATGTAGTACGTCCGAATTCCATTCATACTTTTCACATTCATACTGTATAGAACGTACTTTTCTAACGGCCGAGTAGTACGTATAAATTCAAATGCAGTACCTACTGAGTAGTAGGCGGTTTCGAACGCAGCCTTTGACATTCACTTGACATGAAAATAGCCAGCCAATCAGAATCAAGCATTCCGTAGTGTTAATTCAAACTATTTGCTCATATCAAGAATGAACAGGCAGAATCAGCATCAGTATCGTTACGCTACTTGTGGAAGATGATCTTTCCATAGAGAAGGCAGGAGATTCTGGACCGCTTGATATTCCACAGGAACTTCAGCAACATGGAGGTTTATATCATCGCCCAAACCCAGTTTCTCCAGCTCCTGACAGAATGATATACAGCAGAAGAAAGTATTAGGACTGCATGATATACCGGGTGGGCCATTTATATGGGCCATTTATTGTGGCACATTAGTATATGTGAGGGGGCAAACTTTTACAGAGTGGGTGGTGACCATGGTGGCCATTTTGAAGTCGGCCATATTGGATCCAACTTTTGTTTTTTCAAAAGGAAGAGGGTCATGTGACACATCAAACTGATTGGGAATTTCACAAGAAAAACAATGGTGTGCTTGGTTTTAAATGGTTTTGAATGGCCCCCAAGGTCTCCCGATCTGACCCCCTTAGACTTTTATCTTTGGGGTCATCTGAAGGCAATTGCCTATGGTGTGAAGATACAAGATGTGCAGCACCTGAAACTACGGATACTGGAAGCCTGTGCTGGCATTTCTCCTGCGGTGTTGCTATCAGTGTGTGAAGAGTGGGAGAAGAGGGTTGCGTTGACAATCCAACACAATGGGCAACATATTGAACACATTTTATAAGTGAGAAGTCAGAAACTTGTAAATAACTCAGGAAATAATAAAGTTATGTTAAAACCAAGCACACCATTGTTTTTCTTGTGAAATTCCCAATCAGTTTGATGTGTCACATGACACTCTTCCTATTGAAAAAACAAAAGTTAAAAAGTTGCTGCCCTCATAGCAGCAAACTCCAATCAGAAAAAAGATATCATTAAAAAGGGAGGATCAAATCATGTTAAATATCATACCTGTACAGCCACCCAACTGGCATTAACAGTATGTTCACCAAATGGCTCGAAACCTACAAATAAAGAGAAACACACTCATATGACAGATGAAATATCCAGTATTTAGTTAAACATACACATAGTAGGGGAAATAAGTATTGGCAGGTTAAAGACGCCTCTCATATGGAGAATGAGGTCTCATGCATTGCTCAGGTGTGAGTTTCTCACAAACTTCAACAGAATGTCTAAATCTTGATGATTCTGTGGGTCTCGTCTATATCAGATCTGAGCTTTATCTTGTATTGTCTACTGGATTGAGATCAGGTGATTGGCTGGGCCATTCTACAGCTTGATTGTCTTTCTCTGAAAGCATCTGAGAGTCTCCTTGCCTGTGTTTTGGATCATTGTCTTGCTGAAATGTTCACACTGGGTTCATCTTCATCCTCCTGCTAATGTAGATGTTGGACTGAAGCAGCTGATGTTCATTTACACTAAGGAAGGCTGAGGCTTGCTGAAGAACTACTGAGAGATTTCAGCTGCTGTCTGGGCTTTCACTGCTCAAACACACCTCCCTTTCTTCTTCACATGTTCAATACTTTTTCCCAGAGTCAATTAATTTTTTTACATAACTTAATTAGTAAATTAATTACCTTAATAATATGTATTTCCTTTTTTTCTATTAAAATCTGGTGAAAATTTCAAGGCACCTTTACAAATATATTTTCTGAAAAACATTTTGACGTGTAGCTTATTTTCCCCACTGTGTGTCTATGTTATGACTTTACTTGACAAGCAGCTGTGTGATAAGATGTAATAAACCCCTTCAGACTCCTCGGCTTTAGCTACATTATCATGCGCTTTATAGCTTTTGCACCCTTCGAAGTTAACAAGCTGCAGTCAGCAAAATCCAAACGCAGCAGTTCAGAGTCTACAATCTAATCATGCTTGAAACTGGATGTAATGAGTAACTCTAGCGCTTGAGTTCAGATCAGATGTTGCAATAAACAACAGTACAAACGCTATAATCACGAATGTGCTAAATGAAGATCTTAATAAATCTAAGGATGCATTTCTACGAATGAATTAATAAATTTAAGCATTGTAATTTATATGCATTTAATTTTTATATTAGGATATTAGTATTTTATTACTATATTATATTTATTGGCAGTACCACAATATAGTCACACTCTGTAATTATTTCGCACATACTCGCACTTTTAGTATAGTATTGTAGTATTTTACGGCATTAGTAATTCATTAATACGGTTTATTATTTATTGGCAGTACCACAATATAGTCATTCTATAGTTATTTCACACAATGGCACATGTGTATTTATGTTTGTATTAATAAATCATAAACTCCACGTTAAATTATCACGTAACTAAAACATTTTGGGTTTTTATACTAAATTTAATGAAAATATGAGATGAAATAACTTTAACCCCTAAACTGGCATCATCCCACCAACACTGACTAATCATTACCAACTACAGTTAAAGTCAAACTTATTAGCCTCGCTTTGATTTTATTTTTCTGTTTTAAATATTTCCCAAATGATGTTTAACAGAGCAAGGAAATTTTCACAGTATGTCTGATAATATTTTTTCCTCTGGAGAAAGTATTATTTGCTTTATTTAGGCTAGAATAATAGCAGTTTTTAAATTTTTTAAACACCATTTCAAGTCACAATTATTATCCCCTTTAAGCTATAACTTTTTCCGATAGTCTACAGAACAAACCATCATTATACAATAACTTGCCTAATTACCCTAACCTGCCTAGTTAACCTAATTAACCTAGTTAAGCCTTTAAATGTCACTTTAAGCTGTATAGAAGTGTCTTGAAGAATATCTAGTCAAATATTATTTACTCTCATCATGACAAAGATAAAATAAATCAATTATTAGAAATGAGTTATTAAAGCTATTATGTTTAGAAATGTGTTGAAGAAATTGACAGAATTTGGGAACAAAATAAACAGGGGGGCTAATAATTCAGGGGGCTAATAATTCTGACTTCAACTGTATATATTTTGGAATAGTCTATAATTTTTAAATGCATATTTTACGACAATTTTTTGTTAGGTTATGTTATGTTGGAAGAGTAATAGATTAAAACACATTTAATGTCACCCTAGAACCTGTAGGAGCTTTTACGCTTACGTTTTTAAACTGTAATATTGTAGTCTATACCTAAAGCAATGATGTTTAACTGTATATAATTTGAAAGCTTAAAATTAAGATTTATATTAGATTTTCCATATATGGTGAGAGATTTTTGATAGATATTACTGAGCAACAGTTATTAATATGCAACTTAACAGAGATGTAAAGCATACTTTGCTACAGCAATCCACATGTAAAATATCTTAAATCTAAGTGCTTTAGGGAGAAAATAAAAACTAAATAAACACCAGACGTGTTCAATACTAACTTTAAGCTCATGTTAGTTTTCCAACAAACGTGAAAACATAGTATCTCAATAATAAATGTTAAAATAAGACAAATATCATGTCAAAAAAATACAGAGTTAAAGTTGGGTTTTTTATTCACACATTCGTTATGTGACAGCTTATAACACGCTCCATATATTGTTTACATGGTACTTTTAATATTTGGTCTGAAATCACATGTAACGATGACTTCAAAACAAAATTAACACTGTTTAATTGACTGTGAACAATGTTGTACTTTGATAGTCATTAGTTGCTAATTTGATTTCACTATGTAGAATTTTCAAAGAATACTTTTCTGAAATTACATTATTAAGGAGAAAGTCAGAATGTGCGAATATAAAACCAACTTTACCTTAATAAATACACCCAGAAAGTAATTACACTAAATAAAACACAATAGTAAAACGACAGTACTTTCCCATACTTTTAAATAACGCTGGTATTTCGGGTATTTCAGATTTTTTTTTGTCTTTTGATTGTTCCCAAAAGTCTTTTGTTTTAATATTGATATTTTTGTGAGTGTGTTGTTGTGAAAACAAAATAAAAAGCATTTAATATATATTTTAACCAAAATCAGGAATCTTGCTTTGGCGATTAACTTAAAATATCTTAAATCTAAGTGCTTTATGGAGAAAATAAAAACTAAATAAACACCAGACGTGTTCAATACAAACTTTAAGCTCAAGTTAGTTTTCCAACAAACGTGAAAACATAGTATCTCAATAATAAATGCTAAAATAAGACAAATATGCAAAAAAAATACATCATTGATGTAAAATTGGGTTTTATATTCACACATTCGTTATGTGACAGCTTATAACACGCTCCATATATTGTGGTACTTTTAATATTTGGTCTGAAATCACATGTAACGATGACTTCAAATCAACATTAGCAATGTTTAATTGACTGTGAACAATGTTGTACTTTGATAGTCATTAGTTGCTAATTTGATTTCACTATGTAGAATTTTCAAAGAATATTTTTCTGAAATTACATTATTAAGGAGAAAGTCAGAATGTGCGAATATAAAACCAACTTTACCTTAATAAATACCCCCAGAAAGTAATTACACGAAATAATACACAACACTAAAACGACAGTACTTTTCAATACTTTTAAATAACGCTGGTATTTCGGGTATTTCAGATTTTTTTTTGTCTTTTGATTGTTCCCAAAAGTCTATTGTTTTAATATTGATCTATTTGTGAGTGTGTTGTTGTGAAAGCTAAATATAAAGCATTTAATATATATTTTAACCAAAATCAGGAATCTTGCTTTGGCGATTAACTTAAAATATCTTAAATCTAAGTGCTTTATGGAGAAAATAAAAACTAAATAAACACCAGACGTGTTCAATACAAACTTTAAGCTCATGTTAGTTTTCCAACAAACATGAAAACATAGTATCTCAATAATAAATGCTAAAATAAGACAAATATGCAAAAAAATACATCATTGATGTAAAATTGGGTTTTATATTCACATATTCGTTATGTGACAGCTTATAACACGCTCCATATATTGTTTACATGGTACTTTTAATATTTGGTCTGAAATCACATGTAACGATGACTTCAAATCAACATTAGCAATGTTTAATTGACTGTGAACAATGTTGTACTTTGATAGTCATTAGTTGCTAATTTGATTTCACTATGTAGAATTTTCAAAGAATATTTTTCTGAAATTACATTATTAAGGAGAAAGTCAGAATGTGCGAATATAAAACCAACTTTACCTTAATAAATACCCCCAGAAAGTAATTACACTAAATAAAACACAATACTAAAACGACAGTACTTTCCCATACTTTTAAATAACGCTGGTATTTCGGGTATTTCAGATTTTTTTTGTCTTTTGATTGTTCCCAAAAGTCTTTTGTTTTAATATTGATATTTTTGAGAGTGTGTTGTTGTGAAAACAAAATATAAAGCATTTAATATATATTTTAACCAAAATCAGGAATCTTGCTTTGGCGATTAACTTAAAATATCTTAAATCTAAGTGCTTTATGGAGAAAATAAAAACTAAATAAACACCAAACGTGTTCAATACAAACTTTAAGCTCAAGTTAGTTTTCCAACAAACGTGAAAACATAGTATCTCAATAATAAATGCTAAAATAAGACAAATATGCAAAAAAAATACATCATTGATGTAAAATTGGGTTTTATATTCACACATTCGTTATGTGACAGCTTATAACACGCTCCATATATTGTTTACATGGTACTTTTAATATTTGGTCTGAAATCACATGTAACGATGACTTCAAATCAACATTAGCACTGTTTAATTGACTGTGAACAATGTTGTACTTTGATAGTCATTAGTTGCTAATTTGATTTCACTATGTAGAATTTTCAAAGAATATTTTTTTGAAATTACATTATTAAGGAGAAAGTCAGAATGTGCGAATATAAAACCAACTTTACCTTAATAAATACACCCAGAAAGTAATTACACTAAATAAAACACAATACTAAAACGACAGTACTTTCCCATACTTTTAAATAACGCTGGTATTTCGGGTATTTCAGATTTTTTTGTCTTTTGATTGTTCCCAAAAGTCTTTTGTTTTAATATTGATATTTTTGAGAGTGTGTTGTTGTGAAAACAAAATATAAAGCATTTAATATATATTTTAACCAAAATCAGGAATCTTGCTTTGGCGATTAACTTAAAATATCTTAAATCTAAGTGCTTTATGGAGAAAATAAAAACTAAATAAACACCAAACGTGTTCAATACAAACTTTAAGCTCAAGTTAGTTTTCCAACAAACGTGAAAACATAGTATCTCAATAATAAATGCTAAAATAAGACAAATATGCAAAAAAAAAAAATACATCATTGATGTAAAGTTGGGTTTTATATTCACACATTCGTTATGTGACAGCTTATAACACGCTCCCTATATTGTTTACATGGTACCTTAAATATTTGGTCTAAAAATTACATGTAACGATGACTTCAAATCAACATTAGCACTATTTTATTGACTGTGAACAATGTTGTACCTTGATAGTCTGAATGTGTGAATATAAAACCAACTTTACCTCAATAAATACACGCAGAAAGTAATTACACGAAATAATGCACAATGTACAAACACGCCAGTACTTTCCCATACTTTCGAATAACGCTGGTATTTCGGGTATTTCAGGTTTTTAGTCTTTTATTTGTTCCCAAATGTATTTTCGTTTAATATTGATCTTTTTTTGTGTGTGTTGTTGTGAAATCGATACCAATAATAAGACTGACAGAAGCAGACTGAGGAAAAACTCTTAAAAAACTGACACAAGACTCACACGAGCGTCGAAAAACACTCACCGGTCACGACAACCGTCTTCCTCTGGTCCATGACTGAAAAACCAAAGAGTTTCGTTCAAGAATAAAAGAAAAAATAATGATAATCTGAGGAGATGTTCAATAACTGGCATAAACACACATCATCATCATCATGTTCCAGGACTCTTCCTCTCCTCTCTCCGGCTGAACTGAGATCAGCGCTGACGGTGAAGAACAGCGTCATCTGTCGCTCCGGAGTCATTTAATCATTACCAAATTCATAAATACCATGAAATCGTCGTTTTATATACACTCACAGGCCACTATATTAGGCACACCTTACTAGTAGCGGGTCGGACCCATTTTTGTCTTTAGAACTTGCTTAATCCTTAATGGCATAGATTCAACAAGGTACTGGAAATAAATATTCCTCAGAGATTTTCCTCCATATTGACATGATAGCATCACACAGTTGCTGCAGATTTGTCAGCTGCACATCCATGATGTGAATCTCCCGTTCCACCACATCCCAAAGGTGCTCTATTGGATTGAGAGCTGGTGCCTGTGGAGGTCATTTGAGTACAGTGAACTCATTGTCATGTTCAAGAAACCAGTCTGAGATGATTCACGCTTTATGACATGGAGCATTACACTGCTGGAAGTAGCCATCAGAAGATGAGTACACTGTGCTCATAAAGGGATGGACATGGTCAGCAACAATACTCAGGTAGGCTGTGGCGTTGACACGATGCTCAACTGGTACTAATGGGCCTAAAGTGAGCCAAGAAAATATTTCCCACACTATTACACCACCACCACCCGCCTGAACCGTTGGTGCAATGTAGGATGAATCCATGCTTTCATGTTGTTGATGCCAAATTGTGACCCGATCAGCCGAATGTGGCAGCAGAAATGGAGACTCATCAGAGCAGGCAACATTTCTCCAATCTTCTATTGTCCAGTTTTGGTGAGCCTGTGTGAATTGTAGCCTCAGTTTCCTGTTCTTAGCTGACAGGAGCGGCACCCGGTGTGTTCTTCTGCTGCTGTAGCTCATCCGCCTCAAGGTTGGACATGTTGTGTGTTCAGAGATGCTCTTCTGCAGACCTCAGTGCTTATTTGTGTTGCCTTTCTATCAGCTGATACCAGTCTGGCCATTCTCCTCTGACATCAACAAGGAATTTGCGCCCACAGAACTGCCACTCACTGGATATTTCCTCTTGTTCAGACCATTCTCTGTACATTCAACATTTTCACCTGACGTCAGAACAGCAGAAGCCGTTACTAATTCACCAACATAACTTTAGAGCTAGTGTTTGAATGATTCTCTAGCGTAATGTCTAAAGTGACGACAAAATTGTGCTCACATTTCAAGATTATAAGTTTAAACACCATGAAATGACATTAGTCTACAGAGATGTCCCAGTATTTCTCTGTTGCAATCGGGAGACCACAATAATATTATGGTGTAAATACAGCACTACAACATACAAGAGAGAGAGATATCGACTTAGAAAGTATTTCCCAGGTGAAAAAATATATAAAATTAAATGCAATTAAAATACACTTAAATACCCGCAAATACATTTTTAGTACATTGTTATTTTTTTGTGTTAAATAAACATTTGATGGTTTTACACTATAAATATACTAATTAAAAGTATGTTTGTACTTCAGTAGGACTTTAGTACACATGACAAAAGTATAACAAATTCCAGTAATACTTAAATAAATTTTTAGTGTACTACAATAAAGTACACTACAGAAAAAACATCCAAAAGAGTTTTATTAGTGTTTTTCAAAAGTGTGCTTTAAATGCTTTAAACATTAGTTGATTTTTAGTACACTGTTTACATACTAATCCTAAGTTTAAAATAAGTTAATATATAAAAAATCTATTAGTAATGTATTGTAGTAGAAGTACATTTTCCCAAAAGTTGTAGGAAGTACACTTAATGTGAATGCAATATTATCACTAACACTTAAATTGATTTTGAGTGTGGTAATTTTAAGTTTACATTAAATTGACTTTATTAAAAATCTATTAGAAACGTATTGTAGTAGAAGTACATTTTCCCAAAATACTTTTAACACAGTATTTAGCACACATTTTTTTTTTTTTTTACAATTTGTATATTCTCTTAATATATTACTATTATACTTTAAATTAGTCATAAATATATTTAAATGTTTAAAAGTAGGGTTCAAGTGTATTTCTAGTTGTAACTAAATATATATATATATATATATATATATATATATATATATATATATATATATATATATATATATATATAAAATACAGATATAGTATGTTAAAAGCACATTTTAGTTCAATTTCATGGTGTCTCAAAATAGCACAGTTGAGTACACTTAGATGGTATTAGGTTTATCTTAACATATACTTAATACTATCTTTTAGTACATAAAGTACAAAATTAGTGTGTGAAAATAGAGCACTTTTAGTATATTACTGAAAAGTGTACTAAGTATACTTAAAGTGCATTTTAGTGCACTTTTTTTTACCTGGGTTTACCTGTTTAATAATGATAAGCTGTAGTTTGAAATTATGCTGTTTTTCTCTTAGGGCTTATTATGCGTTCTTTGTTGCCAACTTGTGGATGAGCATCGTCAACCGTCTTTGCTCTGCTCTGCTCATGACTGTCTCTCAAAAACTATGAATATCTAAAATAGGCACTAGCCTTATAAATAAACTGCATAGTTGCAATCTAAGCAACTACATTCTCGCCTAAAAAATTGAATGTTCATGAAGACTGCAGAGTGATGCATACAATAATGACTTCAAGTAGTATAATTAAGTAGTTTGTGATGTATGTTAAAGTGTACCCCCTAAAAGTACAAGTGGCCCCTGCCCGGCCCCCCCAGTTACTCTGGTCTAGAACCGCCACCGACACACACACATTTTAAAAGTTTTCATTTTTATTAAAATATCCTGTGATGAATTATTATGTACAAAATAAAAATGGCACAGAAGAATGACTGCCATTGAGATGAATGTTTCCCGCTGTGAACAATCACTGATCAATAAATCAATCAAACATGCGGGGACGTGGTTTATTGTGTTTCAGACGTGTGTGTGTGTGTGTGTGATGGAAACACCCATATGTGAGATCTGGTTCAGACCTGTTTATGTTCCTTAAACTCTGACTTCCCATCGTGCGTTTCTTCTTAATTAGCAGCGTTCCTGCAGGCCCTGCGCTGCTGTGTGTTATGAGTCATGCTGAATACTGGAGCAGTGTGTGTGCGTGAGTATGTGTGTGCATGTATGAGACCGAGAGAGAAGGAGATAGTATGTGTGTGCGATAGTGAGTGTGCTTTTGTGCGTGCGTGTTTGTATAAGAGAGAGAGAGAGAGAGAGATTGGGTGTGTAGTGTGGGTTTGTGTGTGTGTGTGTATATAAAAGAGGGAGAGAGAGAGAAAGAGAGAGATTGGGTGTAGTGTGGGTTTGTGTATAGGAGAGAGACAGCAAGAGAGAGAGAGAGAGAGAGAGAGAGAGAGAAAGAGAGACATTGGGTGTAGTGTGGGTTTGTGTATAGGAGAGAGACAGCAAGAGAGAGAGAGAGAGAGAGAGAGAGAGAGAGAGAGAGAGAGAGAAAGAGAGACATTGGGTGTAGTGTGGGTTTGTGTATAGGAGAGAGACAGCGAGAGAGAGAGAGAGAGAGAGAGAGAGAGAGAGAGAAAGAAAGAGAGACATTGGGTGTAGTGTGGGTTTGTGTATAGGAGAGAGACAGCGAGAGAGAGAGAGAGAGAGAGAGAGAGAGAGAGAGAGAGAGAAAGAAAGAGACATTGGGTGTAGTGTGGGTTTGTTTATAGGAGAGAGCGAGAGAGAGAGAGAGAGAGAGAAAGAGAGAGAGAGAGAAAGAGAGACATTGGGTGTAGTGTGGGTTTGTGTATAGGAGATAGACAGCGAGAGAGAGAGAGAGAGAGAGAGAGAGAGATTGGGTGTGTAGTGTGGGTTTGTGTGTGTGTGTGTAAGAGAGAAAGAGAGATTGGGTGTGTAGTGAGTGAAAACATATGCTGGAAAAATTGGCGGTTCATTCCGCTGTGGCAAGCCCTGATGAATAAATGGACTAACCCGAAGCAAAATGAAGGAAATAATTAAGCATCCAATCAAATCCAGCAGTCACACAGAGACCGAAGGAAACGTACACTCTCAGAAATAAAGGTACAGGAGCTGTCACTGGGGCAGTACCTTTCCAAATGCATATTTGTACCCAAATAGTCCACAGCGGTACCTAAAAGGTCCATAATAGTACCTAAATGTATCTAAAAAGTACCTTGAGGTACCATTATGGACCCTTAAGGGACAAATATGTACCTCAAGCAGGGCCGGAGTGGGACTCCTTTTCAGCCCTGGAGTTTCAAGCCTTAGACCGGCCCACCTCAGTTCATGACTGACTATATTAAAATAACGTCATTTCCAATTCAGTTTCTAATTACACGATCGCGTATTTTTCAAGATAACAGCTGCTTTATAAGTTTAAATGTTCAAAAACCCAAACAGTATTATATGTCTTAACAATAAAAATTAAAAAAAAAAATGTATCCTCTTAGATAGGTAAGGATCAAACTCGGGTCCTGCAGTGTGGCAACACATCGTGCTGACCACTGGACCACAATGGCGCTAACGTTAAAATTATCTACTATTGACTACTTAATCTTTGTCTCCCCTTTCTAGATTTCTGATCAATTTATGTCAGATTTATTAATTTAGTGAATCATCTGATTTTCATTGAGCAGGTGTAATATTCATTAATATTAATTATTCGAATTCTTATATTAACTTAGGTGCTGCTGTTAGGGGTCGAATAATAGTTACGTCATCATTAACCTGCAGGCTGCATTTAGCTCATGGGGCTGCGAGAAAACAAATAAAAAGAGTGAAGTTGCGGCAAAATAATGAATAGAAAGAGTGAGGCTATGGTCAAATAAAAAAAATTTAAAAAAAAGTGCGACTGCTGAGAGTGCAAGCAGCTAGGGACACCGGCCCTCGCGGACAAAAAACGGACCGGTCCACCGGGAATTCTCCCGGTCCTCCCGATTAGCCAATCCGGGCCTGACCTCAAGGTACTTTTTAGATACATTTGGGTACTAATATGGACCTTTTAGGTACCACTGTGGACTTTTTGGGTACAAATATGCCTCTTTAAAATGGTACTGCACCAGTGACAGCTCCTGTGCCTTTATTTCTGAGTGTAGCGTATGTGTTTCAGCCTGAACATAACAGCGCTCGTCCTGCTGTGTGGGATGACAGTCTGCTTTCCTCCTCAAAAACTGATGCTCTCTGTGTGTGTGTGTGTGTGTGTGTGTGTGTGTGTGTGTGTGTGTGTGTGTGTAAAATGTACAAACTAAGTGCAAACAAATACATCTCACAACATTTTGACTAGTATATAACCAGTATACAATTAAAGTATAAACAGCTGCAAGGATAAATAGATAAAACAATAATAATACTACAAATCATTTAAATAATTAGTGTCAGTTCATATGCCTTTTCTGTTTCTAACGTCACGCAGTGTAGTACCCTATTGTTTTATCTCCTTAATAGCTGTAGCCCATTTCTTCCTTCCGCCCACTGGATCCTTTACCTGCCCCTGCGTCAGAGCCCGTGTCACTGTCGCCATGGCAACGGGTGATGCTGATGCTATTCTGTGATGCGGACGTCATCGTCGGCTCCCATTCTCACACGCGCCGCCTGCACAGATATTTATAGCAATCCTGCCGCTCGCCAAAGCAGCTGATTCAATTCACAAATTCAATTTGGCTTCAAAGCGTCGGCGCATCCCTCCAGATGAACATGTCTGAGGAGAGTTAGATCCTGCTGCCTTCAAAGATCTGATTAGGAGGTCTGTTATAATGGCACAGTGCTGTTTACAACAACAACAAAAACAACATAGTTGACTTAGTCCCTTATTCATCAGGGGGTCACCACTGTGGAATGAACTGGCAACTATTCCAGCATATGTTTTACACAGTGGATGCCTTTCCAGCCGCAACCCAGTACTGGGAAACACCCATACACACTCATATTCACACACTATGGCCAATTTTATTTCATACAATTCCCCTATAGCGCATGTGTTTGGACTGTGGGGGAAACCGGAGCAAACCCATGCCAACATGGGGAAAACATGCAAACTCCACACAGAAATGCCAACTGACCCAGCCAGGGCTTGAACCAGCAACCTTCTTGCTGTAAGGCAATTTAGGTTCATTCTGAGAGTGCAGCCCTATATATATTTCTGGAGATCGTGAATTATGTAGCCAGAGCTACATATGGCTGCATTTTATCACTAAAACGAACGCTACAGGGCGGTTTCACACTTACCAGCTGAACGCTTACCTCTATGTGGACAGCTTTGCCGCTGTTATCAGTTTGTCCAGTAGCTCGACATGTACGTTGACGGACTTGAGATGCAGAGCAGAGTTGACCACGGCAGCAGGGTTCGAGTCTGGCGAAGAACTGTTCCGGAAAGTGGGTAAGACAAAAGCAAAAGCCAACAAAATAAAATAAACAAGTAAATAACAGAATGAGTATGTGGTAAAATCTGAAAACGTGGTGAAAAACCAGACGAGGGCTTATCTTTTTCTGGATTGCTTTTGAAAACACTATTGGTTTGGTTTAGGGAAGGGGGTGGGCGGGTCAATCGGTGCTTTTGAAAACACTGTCGATTGGGTTTAGGGAAGGGGGTGGGCAGGTCAATCGGTGCTTTTGAAAACACTATTGGTTGGGTTTAGGGAAGGGGGTGGGCGGTTCAATCGGTGCTTTTGAAAACACTATTGGTTGGGTTTAGGGAAGGGGGTGGGCAGGTCAATCGGTGCTTTTGAAAACACTGTCGATTGGGTTTAGGGAAGGGGGTGGGCAGGTCAATCGGTGCTTTTGAAAACACTGTCGATTGGGTTTAGGGAAGGGGGTGGGCAGGTCAATCGGTGCTTTTGAAAACACTATTGGTTGGGTTTAGGGAAGGGGGTGGGCGGTTCAATCGGTGCTTTTGAAAACACTATTGGTTGGGTTTAGGGAAGGGGGTGGGCAGGTCAATCGGTGCTTTTGAAAACACTTGGTTGGGTTTAGGGAAGGGAGTGGGCGGGTCAATCGGTGCTTTTGAAAACACTGTCGATTGGGTTTAGGGAAGGGGGTGGGCGGTTCAATCGGTGCTTTTGAAAACACTATTGGTTGGGTTTAGGGAAGGGGGTGGGCAGGTCAATCGGTGCTTTTGAAAACACTTGGTTGGGTTTAGGGAAGGGAGTGGGCGGGTCAATCGGTGCTTTTGAAAACACTGTTGGTTGGGTTTAGGGAAGGGGGTGGGCGGGTCAATCGTTGCTTTTAAAAACACTGTTGGTTGGGTTTAGGGAAGGGGGTGGGCGGGTCAATTGGTGCTTTTAAAAACACTTTTGGTTGGGTTTAGGGAAGGGGGTGGGCGGGTCAATCGGTGCTTTTGAAAACACTATTGTTTGGGTTGAGGGAAGGGGGTGGGCGGGCGGATCACTCATACTTTTGAAAACACTATTGGTTGGGTAATTTATGTGTAACTTATCTTTATTTATATAGGATTTGGTTATGGGTAAAACAAAGACCATGTGGGTCAGGTAGTTGAAATGAGGTAGGGTACAAATGATTAATTCGTTATGAATTATTAATTCACCACCACCTACGACAATGATGCCATCATCCATCGCGATGTTTCACATTAGACATTTTACGATGCCAAATTGGTTGACATCGCCCAACCCTAGTTCAAAGAAGTAGTTTAGTAAAGGTTCAGTCTCGATTTTCAGTAAAAAAAAAAATAGTTTTTTTTTTGGGGGGTTTAGGGAAGGGGGTGGGCGGGTCAATCGGTGCTTTTGAAAACACTTTTGGTTGGGTTTAGGGAAGGGGGTGGGCGGGTCAATCGGTGCTTTTGAAAACACTGTTGGTTGGGTTTAGGGAAGGGGGTGGGCGGGTCAATCGGTGCTTTTGAAAACACTGTTGGTTGGGTGGTTGGTTGGTTATTAAACTTTCTTTTACCAAAAAAGTAAATAAAATCCAACATGTTTTAGAATTTTTTTCTATCAATACACATTTTAATGAATGTTACAACCGTTCCTATGATCGGGGTCATTTACAACATTTGACTTTGTCTGTTCACGTTTAAGCTCTGCATATAATATCATATGAACACATATTATAGCAATGTGGGTGGGTGTCAGATTGATGTGGGTTTATCATATTAAAATTTTGGGTTTCCACAAAAAAATTGAAGGAAATGCAAAAAATGTCCCCACTCTCCCCTAACATGAAAACAGATACTGGTACTGGTACATTAAATGTCAAAACCACCTGCATATAGAAGCACCATGAACATCATTATCTTTTCATCTTTATAGTAGAAAAAGACTTTTCAAAGTACTTATTTGAATTAAAAGATGTTCTTTTGTGGCATTACTGTGATAACCTATTTTAGGCTGTTCCTGTCACCTTTGTTTTTAAGCGTGTGGATTATTCCATTAGATAAAACCCATCACGGAACACTCGATCAAAGCATCCAAAGACCTTCAACATGTTCAGAAACGAGGGAACATTTTCTCCCGCAGCGCCTGCTTTTTATTCCTCCACCCTCGCGCGTTTTACGTCCGCTATGACATCAACCCACAATGCACCGCACTGTTTGCCGTTTACTCCCCGTCTCCACGGCGACACGGGCGAACGCGGCCCCTTATGCAAATCAAACCGGAAGAAAACGTCATCTTTGGCCAATCTCAGCGCTCTGAAGTGACATAATGGAATTTTTAGGGATAGAAAACTTGCAAATGCGTACTGACGCCCCGTGGATAACACATCTCTCTCGCGCTCCGGAGAAAACAACACCATAAAAAACAACGACGCCATAAATCGCAAGATATCAAAACTAATCTAGGTCATTTAAATAAGAATAGTTTTGTGTTTTCGTCGCGATGGGTCGCTCGGAGAGCTCGACGCTACACGGCAGGAGAGTGTAGGATGGGAACACGTCTGCTTCGCATAAACAAGGATATACGCGGAATACTGAGAACAATTATGATGAAGAAAGATATGAGCTTGAACCTGGACGACCAGAACAGCTCGAGTCTGAAGCCGGATCTGAGGGATGCTGAGGGAATACTCAACTCCCCGGATCTGGGGCTCCTTAAGCTGGCTTCACCAGAGCTGGAGCGGCTGATTATTCAGTCCAACGGGATGGTCACCACCACACCGACCTCCCAGTTCATCTACCCGAAGTCGGTAAGCGACGAACAGGAGTTCGCGGAGGGTTTCGTCAAAGCGCTGGAGGATCTCCACAAGCAGAACCAGCTGAACGGCGGACCGTGCGTTCCCCCGACGCTCAACAGACTCGCTAACAGCAGCACCAGCCTCGCCTTAAACGCGGATCTGCCCGTGTATACGAACTTGAGCACGTACGGGAGCACCACGGTGAACTATTCCACAGACACCATCCCGTTCCCACCGCCGCCGCCCGCGCACCCGATGTCCGCGCAGCCGCAGCCGCTGAAGGACGAGCCGCAGACGGTACCAGACATGCAGAGCTTCGGCGACAGCCCGCCGCTCTCCCCCATCGACATGGACACGCAGGAGCGCATCAAAGCCGAGAGGAAGAAGCTCCGGAACCGCATCGCCGCCTCCAAATGCCGCAAGCGGAAACTGGAGCGGATTTCCCGCCTGGAGGACAAAGTGAAGTCCCTGAAGAGCCAGAACACGGAGCTCGCGTCCACCGCCAGCGTGCTGAGGGAGCAGGTGGCGCAGCTGAAGCAGAGAGTCATGAACCACGTCAATAACGGCTGCCAGCTCCTGCCGAACACCGTGCAGGCGTACTAACACTCACCAGAACTCCTTGATCTGTCAGTGTTTGGGTGGTTGACAAACTTTAAGGTTTGGGGTTTGGATACATTCACATTTCCACAGCGCGCGAGGAGTTAAAGGTCCCCGTGAAGTGCTTTGAAGTGTGCGTTTTTTATACGATGTTTGACGCGAAACATGAAGAAAGAGGAACCAAGAGTAGCTCCTCCCCTTTATGAAACAGCCAATAGCGTTTTGAAGCGACTGAAGGTGGCGGGGCTTGCCAGATACTAGAGAGTATTTGATTGGTCGGAAGATTTGTTGAGAAACTGAATTTTGAGGTGACGTGAATAAAACCGTTGCTCCATTTTGGTGACCAACTACAAGCTTTATATTCGGTTTTATAGCTCCTAAACGCGAATTTGGTGTCCACAAGCTTGTATATCATAAAAACGAACTCTACTGTTAAAAAAGAGCATAGAATCACCAAGAGGCGACACTCTAAAGCAATTTGGGAAACAGCCACTAGATGGCGCGGCGGCCATTTTGGAAGGAAAACTTCAATAGAACAACAACATAATCTTAAGTCTGTAAAATAAACTATTAAAAGTGCTGATAATCGTGATAGTAAGTGTTATATTGTCGTCTTTCAGGTTGTATCTCAGCTTTAATGCGCTTTTAAAATAAACAAATAGAAAACAAAGCAGCTGCTTGCCATCGTGACAGCAATGAGATCCAATAGGCAGCCGACCGCTTTCATTCCAAAATGGCGGAGCTGTTTTTGGGCGCTGCTGTTTCAATTGATTGAGTGTCGCCTCTTGGTCATTCTAAGCTCTTTGCTGATACTAACATCTAAAAAAAACTGTATTTTAATTTCTTGGGGCTTTTAAGGTAGTACATTTTTTTTTACAAGAAAGCACCTTGTGGTTTTGATTAAAAAGTTTGTTTTTAGTCACAAAATGAAGACTGAATTTAAAAACCAGTCATTCCGCTGCAAAAAGTAGTCCCTGACTTGATAATTCGTTACTATGCAGTGATGCAGCGCAGTCTGGCGCCATATTTTAGATTCAAGCAACTAATCAAGCTGGACTGAACTTTTATATCTCAGTTTGATTAGAGAAGCAGCGCTCCTCAAGTGTATTAATCTGCCTGTGTGTTGCGCAGTAATGCTCCCTCCTCTTTCGGTTTCCTTTTGAAACTACTTTCACTTGTACTTTTATTGTACAAATGGACAAATATTGGAATTAGTTCACCATCGTGCCATCATCCAACCAAACTAGCCATACTAAAGTGAACCCATATTTGGCAAGCACTAGTGGAATACTTTAGCACCAATTAAAGGGATAGTTCACTAAAAAACACTAGTGGTTGTTAATCTTATGATTTTATTTCTCCTGTTGAACACAAAAGAAGATATTGTGAAGAATGCTGGAAAGTATGAGGTGATGTGAATAAAACAGTTGATCTATTTAGGCGACAAACTGCAAGTTTTATATGAATTCATTCGGTTTTAAAGCTCTTAAACGTGAATTTTGGTGCCCACTCGTTTAAAGATAGCTTAAAAATGAACTATACTGATACTAACTTCTAAATAAACTGAATTAAAAAAAACTTTGACATTATCACAGGGCTGATAAACTATTTAACATCGATTTGCGATAACATTTATGTCAATAGCAATGATAAGCTCTGAACTTTTTAACTCTATATTGATCTAAGAGCCAATCACATAGTAGAAATGTGCAACGATGGGAATCTAAAAGTGTGTTGATATTAGAGATGCACCGAAAATTACAAAATAATTTAATTAAATGACATTTAATAGCTATTTTTGTGGCTTCAGTTATTGTTGGGGTACTCTTTCAAATATGGAAGCCTTAACATATCGAAATAAATATCGTCATCAATTAATATGGAACATAATTATTGAGATTGCATTTTTGCCATATCACCCAGCCCTACATTGACATCCATAGTCGTAACAACAAGATACAATGGAAGTCAATGGCTGTTTTTGCTAGCATTCTTCAGTACAGACCATATTTACGGATGTAAACAATAACAATAGTACCAACGTAATTATAGTATTAATTTTCTTAGCTTACAAGAATACAAAAAGGTCCACATATTGATAAATAATGTAAGCTGTTTTAACATTAAGATATGATTAGTTGCCTCTTGTTACAGTTATGAAATAGTTTGACAACAAGCAGGAAATATTCATGGTCATTACGACATTGAAATGGTCTATATTATACTCTGTTCAACAGGAGAAAGAAACTCAAAAAGGATTGAAACACGTGGATGAGTAGATGATGACTGAATTTTTAGGTTTTCCAAAAACATTAAGGGAAAGTCCACTCTTTGTATGAGTCTGCTTTCAGTTTGTGTATGGTTTTGGTTTCTTTTTGAGCTATTTCCAGTGGTGCTGCTTTGACTTTAATTCATTATAATGTTAATTGATGTAATTTAAACAGAATATTCTGTCCCTACTATGTTTTTTTTATTGTATATTATTTTTTTAGCACTACATGAACTCTGCGCTGACCAATATTTTTTTTAATCTCCAAATATACAGTGCAGCTCTGTTACACTAATTTGATCATGCAAGCAGGTGACAGTATTTGTAAGCAGTGAATTCACTAAATCTCTCACTTGCAATGTATCGCTATGTTGTTGACAGCTCTCAGCTGACTTCTTCTGGGGTTGTTTTCTTTGGCACAGCAGCAACAAACTACATTCCTGGCTATACAGTGTCAGTTACTCAATATGAAGCGCTGTAATAAAAGACGATCATATTGCATATTATGTTGCATACAAGTGCAGAACTGATGAAGTGTGTTGAATCAGCAGCCTAAGAAAGAGATTATATTATAACTGTTAAAAAAGTTTCTCAACTTAAAATTTCAAGTCAACTCAAAAAAGCTGAGCAGCAAGTTGCCTTACTCAATTTTCAGTTTATAATTTCAAGTAACGTCAAATTTTTTTTTCAAGTTTTCAATTTGCGTTTTTTAAATAATGGGAACAAAATTTTTTCAATATTTAACTTTTATTTCTCAAGTAATGTTAGCTAAATGTTTTTCAATTTTTAACTCATGTTTTCAAGTAATGTCAACTCAATTCTTTGAATTTATTTTATATTTTAAATTAATGTCAACTCATTTTTTTTACTTTTCAACCAAAAATTTACTTATTTTCAAGTAGTCAACAATTTTTTTTTTCATTTTCAACTCACATTTTTAAGTGGTCAACTCAAATTTTTACATTTTCAACATTTTCCAACTAATGTCGAGTAATTTTTTCAATTTTGAACTTATATTTTCCAAATAATGTCAACTAAATGTTTTGCAGTTCTCAATTTATATTTTCAAGTAATGTCAACTCGATTCTTTTCAATTTTGAACATATTTTCAAGTAACATCAACTCAATAATTTTTTTTTCAAATTTCAACTTACATTTTAAAGTAATGTGAACTCTATTTTTATTTGCAATGTAGATTTTTAATTAATGTCAACTTAATTTTTTTAGTTTCCAACTCATATTTTCAAGTAATGTCTTTTAAAAAAATTTTTTTATTTCTATTTACATTTTCAAGTAATGTCAACTCATTTTTTTCAATTTTCGACATAAATTTTTTAAGCAATTGGAACTCAACTTGTAACATATTTTCAAGTAATGTCAGCTAAATGTTATTAAATTCTCAACTTAAATTTTTAAGTAATGTCAACTAATTGTTTTAAATGTTCAACTTACATTAATTAATTCATTTTCTTTTCGGCTTAGTCCCTTTATTAATCCGAGGTCACCACAGTGGAATTTACCGCCAAGTTATCCAGCATATGTTGAACTCTATTATTTATTTGCAATGTCGATTTTTATTAACCTTAACTTATTTTTTTTCAGTTTCCAACTCATATTTTCAAGTAATGTCTTTAAAAAAAAAACATTTTTATTTCTATTTACATTTTCAAGTAATGTCAAGTATTTTTTTTTTAAATTTCGACTTACATTTTTTAAAGTAATTGGAACTCAATCTGTAACATTTTCAAGTAATGTCAACTAAATGTTTTTAAATTCTCAACTTAAATTTTTAAGTAATGGGAACTCAATTTTTTTAATTTATATTTTCAAGTAGAGTTAACTAGATTTTTTTTCAATTTTTAACTTTTTTTCAAGTAATGTCAACTCTACTTTTTCTAATTTGCAATGTAGATACAACTGAATTTTTTCCATGTCCAACTCATATTTTCAAGCAATGTCAACTTGTTTTTTTTTAAAAAATGTATTTACATTTTCAAGAAAGATTAACTAAATGTTTTTCAATTTTCAACTTAATTTTTTAAAGTAATGGGAACTTTTGTTTGACATTTTCTACTTATATTTTCCAAGTAATGTCAACCAAAAAATAGTGTTGAATTTTTTTTTTTAAATCAAGTAATAGAACTAATATTTTTTACATTTTCAGCTTATATTTTCAACTTTTTTGAACATTTTTATCTTATATTTTTATGCAACGTCAACTCAAATAAATCAATTCTCAAGTTTGTCAAACTGCGTTTATTTTAGGCAACTTGCTGCAGAGGTTTTTGAGTTGACTCATCTCAAGTCCAGTGCAGTACTTGGCTTAAAAGTTGAATCAATTAATTTATTTCATTGACAGTGTATATGGATGTGATGATGATAATGATGATGTGTGTCATGTCAACTACCCATTTACTGATGCGTAAAGCTCACAGACTGATCTCACCCTTCCAGTGGCCATTTATTCTCCTCAACGGACTGCAGAAATGGACACTACAGGTGCTGATGTATAATATGTTTACAAAACTTTGTAGCAAACGGACGCGTAAAAGAAAGCAGTGATGCTACACGGTTTGATCTCCTGGGAGAAGCAGCTGTATTTTTTGCATGCTCCAGACAAGCTCCAGACGAGCGCAACCAAACACAACAAAGATGTCATGCATGTTCGCTTAAGCCTTATCTGACGACGAGCTCTTATTAATCAACGTCTGTATCTATTTTATATAAACAGCTATTC